TGTGCTCTTCACATAAGCTATAAATAGACCAATCTGGCCTAAAAACGGGGACTTGCATTCATAAGATTGGTCCGTTGTCCTACTTTGCAATAGTTTGATTACCCACCTCGTTGAAGAAGACCAACACTATTCAACAATTAATGACAAATTAAGATGTAGCAGGCATATGGATTATTCCACTGATAGAATTGTTATCAAAACAGGGCAATCTACTATTTCCAAATCAGGGGAATAATTCAAGGAGAAAATACTCCCTCTATCCTATAATATAGACGTTTTTTACACTAGCTTTTAGTGTAAAAACGTCTTGTATTATGGGACAGAGGGAGTACAACGGTTGCCAAGGTCAATTGTAATCAGTTTCCTAATATTCTAAAATGCAAAAATAGTAACATATTTCATGACGAATCGATTGGTATTGTAAATGTTGATAAGTTTTTCTATAAGCTTTTTCGATGTTTACAAATGTTTGAATCTAGAAAAACTTGTATGCATCGTAATTTATCAAAGAGAGAGTAATTGTCTATCTAGCATTTGTGAGCATCTCATTTATAGTTCCTCCTGATCAAATTATGTTTAGTTTTGTACTTACAGAGCAACAACGCGAGGGTGCTAATGGTGGGCCCGGTGTCCATCTTAGCATAATCTCCCTGTGGCAATCATAACAGTTTAATAGCATGCAGACCAACAACCTACTAGCAAATTACTACAACGACGAGCACCAGGGAAAAGGCACAAGCCATCCTAAGACGCTGCAGCATGCCCTTGATCTTCATCATTTCATTACTTTTACTTCATGTTTTAACACTGTGATGCTTCCAAAGTTATTACCTCACAATTTTGCAATTATGGTACCTTTTGGCAGCCTGTTTTTATTTTATAAATCTCATCCACCTAAATTGCATGTCTCTAGCTTAGCCTAAAATGCAATGAGAGGTGTGCTATTGAGCAAATAATTAACTGCAATAAACAAACTATTAATGGTTTTGTTAAGGATGTGCACTAAGTATTACACATCAAAGTCATATGTCATTAGCTTACAAAAAGAAGTCATATGTCATTGATTTTATGCTTAGGTTTGTGCGGGTAATTTTATTTTTCTCTTTTTTTAATTTATGTTTGATTGAGTCACTTAGATATGCAATACTTATGTCACATCTAGAGGTGCTCTGAACAGACCCAATTATTAACTTGGTGCCTTGGTCCTTCCTCTTGGCTGATTGGATGCTGCCAGAGGGATATAACCAACCAGACCGCGTGTGTGTACCCGGCCTGACCTGTCACCGGCATGCACGTCCCGCTTGTACGCATCTACATGTACCGCCGGCGCCACGCGCCACGCGTTCCTCGTTGCTAGCATGCAATCTGAACATAGCACGTTACTGCGTCGTTGTTGCCAAAAATAATGCCATCGGCAAGCCAAGTCTGGGCATATCGCATATACATCGATGGATGGATGGACCGGTGGTGACAAGGTAGTGGTACCAGTACATGCATTAGTGGTTGTGCACTCTGAACATAGCCTGTGATAGAAAACAAACAAAACATTTCTATCTTTACCTCCGCACATGGTCATCATCACCGTGCCAGCGGTCCGGATGCTCGATGCTGCTGACTTTGGCTGCCGGAGCTGGGATCCTAAGGTAATTTGTCTCCGATGTGCTTTGGGGCCTTGAGAATCTATTCCAGGACAATCTGTGCAAGCAATGTACCCTAGCTTTTTACATCCGCTCGATGTAAATCTGGGAATATAATGATGGATTGTTGACATATCCACCAAACGGCCTTGTACAAGGGGCGAGAGCAGCGCATCGGCGGCTCGTTCTGGTGGCTGTAGTGATCGTTCGGTGGTCTTGAAATTTCGATGTAGTTTTAATTATATTTGAGGTATTTTGTACTTCCGGTAAACTTTCATAATAGATCTTGATCATTTTTGCAAAAATAAAATAAAAATCGGACTCCATAGTATCCCATCATTAAATACATGATTTTATTTAATCCTTAGATGTGGGATTGATGTAGGTCGCAGAATCCTTTTTTAATACTACGTTTGCAGGGTCTTAAACTCAAAACCTCTTGTCTCGGATATCATATTAAATGTATGCTCTGTAAGCTCAAACTGTTGGGAAAGATGGGCTATGCATTTATACGTCAGCGCTCCCCCTAACATGTGGCTCCCTTAGGCTTAAACGCGGACCGAAAGTGAGTTGCAATCTAATTACGCCAGCCCAGTCTTAAACTCAATATGGTATCCGAGCCAAGAGGTTTTGACATTCAAGACCCTGCCAACGCAGTATTAAAAAAAGATTTTGCGACCTACATAAATCCCACGTCTAAGGACTAAATAAGCCTAGACATGAGGAGGTGTTGAAATATATTGCTTGCCTCTCTCCATCAGTTCGGACTTTTGAATGAGTTGGCTGGAGCATAAATACAATATGATATCTAAGCTAGGAGGTCTTTAGTTCAACGCCCTGCCAACGCGGTATTATAAAAAGATTCCACGTCCTACACAAATCCCAAGTCTAAGGACACGTGAGGGGGGGTGTTGAAATATACTGCGTCGTTGTCTATCAGTTCTGACTTTTGAATGAATTGGTTGGAGTATGAAATCAATACTCCAAACAAAAGGATTCCTATAATTTGTACCACGTTGCCATTGAATCTGGTTTGACAACCCCTTTTGCTTTGACGAGATGTTCGAAACAAGACAAATATTGATTATGTTTAAAAAATAATTGTTTTTTTTCTGATTTCTTTAACTTGATTGAAACATTTATGAATCAATTATGAAATTCGGGATGGTATTTCATTAAATTTATTAAAACATGTCTTTCGTATTATGTTCTTATGTAAGTTCCTTGTTTGAAATAGAACCCATGAAGTCTCAAAAGCAAAAGGTTTAAACTACAATACTATATTCTACATTGATCTTGTTTCAAAGAGCTCTTCAAAAGGAAGGTAAATGGATCCAAAATAAGGCATTCAGATCAAAATATGAGTCACCCTTTTTATGTTCATATCAAAAAATAAAGACATTGATTTTTTGTTGGGACAGGAAGATGTGGAGTGCGGGTCAATTTTGATATGTAAGGAAATTTCGGAAACATGTCACAAACCCATTTTCTAGCCTCATCATGTCCCTCTGTTTCACGCCCAAGGGCTTAACTAGAAGTGGTGCACCCCGTGCATAAATTAGACCGGTGCATTGGGGACGCGAATGTTTGGTTCCTGAGTGTATCTACTCTATATGGGAAAAAAATAGTAATTCAACAAAAAGTCAAAAAATCTGAAAATATTTTTGAATAACTTGACCTTCCATTGTACTTGTGAGAGAAATTCCACAAAAAGAAAAATCCCCCTTTCACTTCTGTTCAAAAAAGACAACTTTTTAGCGAAAACAGTGTGAATAGTGACCTATAATAGCAAATAAAATGTCTTTTTTGCCCTGAAGTCAACTTTGGTTTTGTTCATGAAAATTTATATACTAGTGCAAAAGAAAGTCAAGTTTTTTCTTAAAGAAATTCTAAACAATTTTGAATTTTTGTTTAATTATTAAGAAAACTCCCCATATAGGTGTATATACAACCAGGTTCCGATGTGTATTTCCCGGGACGCGGGCATTTGGTTCCTGCAGAAAAATAACTTTAGTAATCAAACAAAAAGTCAAAAAAAATTAAAAATATTTTTAAAATAAACTTGACCTTCCATTGTACTTGTGAGAAAAGTTACACAAAAAGAAAATCCCCCTTTGACTTCTTTCAAACGAGATACAATCTCGTGAGGCCTGATTGGGTTGATCGGCGGCTGCTTGTTGGCCTGGCGCTGATACACTTGGTAAATTGTGAACATAGACGGGAAAACTATCAATTGCAAGTCAAGATGGACATCCATGTCAAATGATTCCAGGATGCATACAGAAAAAAAATTCGTAGATCAGAGATGGATCAAAACCATACAATATCAACATCTAGAGATTGGAGTATTACGTACCGACAGCATATAGTTGGTGGTGGGCATTATCACGGGTTAAGCTGGCCGCAAATTTCCGGTTGCGTCGCTGCCCACATGCGAGATGAGACCGCCACCGTACGTGTCACATGTGTTGATGTAGCATGTTGGTGTAGATGTGAGAAGGCACCGCCCACCTGCTCTTCGGCGCGCGTCAGGCGGTGCCGTGGTATGCCCGCCGCGTCATCTCAACGCGGTGCTCACGCCCTCCATTGACGCGTGCGCGTGGCCACTGCTTCCCGGCTGCATGGGTTGATGTAGTTAGTGAAAGCGTATATTAAAGAAGACACCGCGAGCGAGCTCCCCGGCGGAAGTCCCTCAACGTCGTCGTATGACAATGGAGCTGCAGTCGCCGGCGCGTCATTCGGGTGCCTTGGGTGCAAGTGCAGCAAGTGCTAGGTCCTCTCTTCTGCGGCTCCTATCCCTCCTCGGGTCTGTTAATTAGGAACAAAAGGAGAATCACTGGGGTCCGCAAGTAGTCGCCTTCTTCCCTAAGAAAAGCCTAGGGTTCATCTACCTCCCACTTCCCTTAGATGGCGGTCCGCCTTGTTACATTAAAAATGTGCATCGTTAGAATAACAGAAGCATCAATAGTACATTAACAATCTTGAGGCCTGATTAGGAATCCGATTCATGTTTATCTTTTCACATAAGCAAATAGGTTTTCGTCGAAAGTTCATATTCAAGAACCGTTGCAATTGTAGCATGGAAACATAAACTTAATTATGAACATAAAAATAGGACGATAGTAACTTTATTATTATATTAGGGCATATTTTCGGTGGAATACATATGGGGCGGATGTTTCAGCGCTGGGATACATAGGCACCACTCAGCCTAACGAACAAACTGAGTGACACATTGCACTACTACACGGTAACACATATGCCCTTCGCCATATGAAGGGCTATGATCGATACAACATATTCGTTAATTAACTTTATCCAGCTTTTTCTCTCGATCATCACATATATTATTACTCTCATGAATCAATTGTTCATCACCTGCCTCCTCTTGATCTTGGCCTTGAAGCCGTTCTTCATGTGGAGAATGATGGAGACGTTGGGCTCGACGACATGCCCCGGCACGTCCTCCACCAAGAAGTTCCGCACCACGGTGGCCGCCACCACCTTGAGTTGCACGAACGCCATGTCCTTGCCGAGGCAGGTCCGTGGCCCGGTGTTGAAGGACACGAACTTGTACGACGGCATGTACCGCGGCTTGCCGTCCTCGCAGATCCACCGTTCCGGCCGGAAGTCCCGGCAGTCCTCGCCCCACACGGCCTCCATTCTCCCCATCGCGTACAGCGACACGATGATCTTGTCCCCCGGCCGCACCTCGTGTCCGCTCGGCAGCGTCTCCACCGCCACCACGCCCTTGTGCTCGAACGGCACCGGAGGGTATAGCCGGAGAGCCTCGCACAGGGCGGCATGCAGGTACACGAGCCGGCTCAGCTCATCCGGGTCGTAGGTTGCCATGCCATTGCCGTCCACGGTGGTGGTGGTGGCCTTGATGGTGTCGAGCTCTTCCAAGATCTTGGACTCCACGTGCGGGTTCTTGGTGAGGAGATAGAAGAACCAGGACAGCGCCGAGCCAGTCGTGTCACGCCAGCGAGCATAAGGTTCATGGTCGTGTCGCGGAGGAAGACGTCCACAGTCATGCCAGCATCATCGTCGTCGATGTAGGAGGAGAGCAGGTCCGTCGTGTCCGAGTCCTCGTTTCCGCCTCTAGCTTTAACCGCCTCACGCCTCTGTTGGAAATATGCCCTAGAGGCAATAATAAAAGTGTTATTATTATATTTATTTGTTCATGATAATAGTCTTTTATTCATGCTATAACTGTATTATCTGGAAATCGTAATATACGTGTGAATACATAGACCACAATATGTCCCTAGTGAGCCTCTAGTTGACTAGCTCGTTGTGATCAACAGATAGTCATGGTTTCCTGGCTATGGACATTGGATGTCGTTGATAACGGGATCACATCATTAGGAGAATGATGTGATGGACAAGACCCAATCCTAAGCCTAGCACAAAGATCGTGTAGTTCGTATGCTAAAGCTTTTCTAATGTCAAGTATCTTTTCCTTAGACCATGAGATTGTGCAACTCCCGGATACCGTAGGAATGCTTTGGGTGTACCAAACGTCACAATGTAACTGGGTGGCTATAAAGGTGCATTACAGGTATCTCCGAAAGTGTCTGTTGGGTTGGCACGAATCAAGACTGGGATTTGTCACTCCGTGTAAACGAAGAGGTATCTCTGGGCCCACTCGGTAGGACATCATCAGAATGTGCACAGTGTGATTAAGGGGTTGATCACGGGATGATGTGTTACGGAACGAGTAAAGAAACTTGCCGGTAACAAGATTGAACAAGGTATCGGTATACCGACGATCGAATCTCGGGCAAGTACAATACCGCTAGACAAAGGGAATTGTATACGGGATTCATTGAGTCCTTGACATCGTGGTTCATCCGATGAGATCATCGTGGAACATGTGGGAGCCAACATGGGTATCCAGATCCCGCTGTTGGTTATTGACCGGAGAACGTCTCGGTCATGTCTACATGTCTCCCGAACCCGTAGGGTCTACACACTTAAGGTTCGATGACGCTAGGGTTATAAAGGAAGTTTGTATGTGGTTACCGAATGTTGTTCGGAGTCCCGGATGAGATCCCGGACGTCATGAGGAGTTCCGGAATGGTCCGGAGGTAAAGATTTATATATGGAAAGTTGTTGTTCGGGTTCCGGAAAAAGTTCGGGTTTTTTCGGTATTGTACCGGGAAGCTTCCAGAAGGTTCCGGAGGATTCCGGAGGGGTCCGGAGGTCCGGAAATTGTTCCACCACGTCCAATACAGTAGCATGGGCTGTAGGGAGGCGCCCTAGCCTTAATGGGCCAGGGGCACCAGCCCCCCCAAGGCCCATGCGCATGGGAGGGGGAAACCCTAAGGGGGAGGGCCTCCACTTGACTTGGGAGGCACTCCTCCCCCCCTTGGCCGCACCCCTTCCTTGGAGGAAGGGGCAAGGCTGCGCCTCCCCCCTCTCCCTTGCCCCTATATATAGTGGAGGGGAGGGAGGGCAGCCATACATGAAGGCCTGGCGCCTCCCTTCCTCCCGTGACACCTCCTCCTCTCCCGCAGGTGCTTGGCGAAGCCCTGCAGGATTGCCACGCTCCTCCACCACCACCACGCTGTCGTGATGCTGCTGGATGGAGTCTTCCTCAACCTCTCCCTCCCTCCTTGCTGGATCAAGGCGTGGGAGACGTCACCGGGCTGTACGTGTGTTGAACGCGGAGGTGCCGTCCGTTCGGCACTAGGATCTCCGGTGATTTGAATCACGACGGGTACGACTCCTTCAACCCCGTTCTCTTGAACGCTTCCGCTTAGCGATCTACAAGGGTATGTAGATGCACTCTCCTTCCCCTCGTTGCTGGTTTCTCCATAGATAGATCTTGGTGACACGTAGGAAAATTTTGAATTTCTGCTACGTTCCCCAACAGTGGTATCAAAGCCAGGTTTATTGCGTAGATTCTTTGCACGAGTAGAACAAAAAGTAGTTGTGGGCGTTGATGTTGTTCAATATGCTTACCGTTACTAGTCCAATCTTGTTTCGACGGTATTGTGGGATGAAGCGGCCCGGACCGACCTTACACGTACTCTTACGTGAGACAGGTTCCACCGACTGACATGCACTTGGTGCATAAGGTGGCTAGCGGGTGCCAGTCTCTCCCACTTTAGTCAGAACGGATTCGATGAAAAGGGTCCTTATGAAGGGTAAATAGCAATTGGCATATCACGTTGTGGTTTTGCGTAGGTAAGAAACGTTCTTGCTAGAAACCCATAAGCAACCACGTAAAACATGCAACAACAATTAGAGGACGTCTAACTTGTTTTTGCAGGGTATGCTTTGTGATGTGATATGGCCAAGAAGAATGTGATGAATGATATGTGATGTATGAGATTGATCATGTTCTTGTAATAGGATTCACGACTTGCATGTCGATGAGTATGACAACCGGCAGGAGCCATAGGAGTTGTCTTTATTTATCGTATGACCTGCGTGTCATTGAAGAACGCCATGTAACTTACTTTACTTTATTGCTAAACGCGTTAGCCATAGAAGTAGAAGTAGTCGTTGGCGTGACAACTTCATGAAGACACGATGATGAAGATCATGATGATGGAGATCATGGTGTCAAGCCGGTGACAAGATGATCATGGAGCCCCGAAGATGGAGATCAATGGAGCTATATGATATTGGCCATATCATGTCACAACTATATAATTGCATGTGATGTTTATTATGATTATGCATCTTGTTTACTTAGGACGACGGTAGTAAATAAGATGATCCCTTACAAAATTTCAAGAAGTGTTCTCCCCTAACTGTGCACCGTTGCTACAGTTCGTCGCTTCTAAGCACCACGTGATGATCGGGTGTGATGGATTCTTACGTTCACATACAACGGGTGTAAGACAGTTTTACACAGCGAAAACACTTAGGGTTAACTTGACGAGCCTAGCATGTGCAGACATGGCCTCGGAACACGGAGACCAAAAGGTCGAGCATGAGTCGTATAGTAGATACGATCAACATGAAGATGTTCACAGATGATGACTAGTCCGTCTCACGTGATGATCGGACACGGCCTAGTTGACTCGGATCATGTAATCACTTAGATGACCAGAGGGATGTCTATCTGAGTGGGAGTTCATAAGATGAACTTAATTATCCTGAACATAGTCAAAAGATCTTTGCAAATTATGTCGTAAGCTCGCGCTTTAGTTCCACTGTTTAGATATGTTCCTAGAGAAAATATAGTTGAAAGTTGATAGTAGCGATTATGCGATCAGTAGAAAGCTTATGTCCTTACTGCACCGCTCAGTGTGCTGAACCCCAAACGTCGTTTGTCGATGTTGCGAACATCGAACATACACGTTTTGATAACTACATGATAGTTCAGTTAAATGGCTTAAGTAGAGGCACCAAAGACGTTTTTTGAAACATCGCGGAACATATGAGATGTTTCGAGGGCTGAAATTAGGATTTCAGGCTCGTGCCCACGTCAAGAGGTATAAGACCTCCGACGATTTTCTTAGCCTGCAAACTCAGGGAGAAAAGCTCAATCGTTGAGCTTGTGCTCAGATTGTCTGAGTGCAACAATCACTTGAATCGAGTGGGAGTTGATCTTCCAGATGAGATAGTGATGTTTCCCCAAAGTCATTGCCACCAAGCTGCTAGAGCTTCGTGATGAACTATAACATATCAAGGATAGAGATGATGATCCTTGAGGTATTCCCGTTGTTTGACATCGCGAAAGTAGAAATCAAGAAGGAGCATCAATTGTTGATGGTTGGTGAAACCACTAGTTTCAAGAAGGGCAAGGGCAAGAAGGGATACTTCATGAAACAGCAAATCAGCTGCTGCTCCAGTGAAGAAACCCAAGGTTGAACCTAAACCCGAGACTAAGTGCTTCTGTAATAAGGGGAACAACCACTGGAGCGGAATTACCCTAGATACTTGGTAGATGAGAAGGCTGGCAAGGTCGATAGAAGTATATTGGATATATATTATGTTAATATGTACTTTACTAGTACTCTTAGTAGCACCAGGGTATGAGATACCGGTTTGGTTGCTAAGTGTTAGTAACTCGAAATAAAAGAGCTACGGAATAAACGGAGACTAGCTAAAGGTGAGCTGTCGATATGTGTTGGAAGTATTTCCAAGTTTGATGTGATCAAACATCGCACGCTCCCTCTACCATCAAGATTAGTATTAAACTTGAATGATTGTCATTTGGTGTTTGCGTTGAGCATAGACATGATTGGATTATGTCTATCGCAATACGGTTATTCATTTAAGGAGAATAATGGTTACTTTATTTATTTGAATAATACCTTTAATGGTCTTGCACCTAAAGGAATGGTTTATTGAATCTCGATCGTAGTGATACACATTTTCATGCCAAAAGATATAAGATAGTAATGATAGTACCACTTACTTATGGCACTGCCATGTAAGTCATATTGGTATAAAACGCATGAAGAAGCTCCATGTTGATGGATCTTTAGACTCACTCATTTTTGAAAAGTTTGAGACATGCGAACCATGTCTATTGGTATATACGCATGAAGAAACTCCATGCAGATGGATCGTTTGGACTCACTTGATTTTGGATCACTTGAGATATGCAAATTATACCACATGGGCAAGATGACTGAAAGCCTCGGTTTCAGTAAGATGGAACTAGATAGCAACTCGTTGGAAGTAACACATTTTGATGTGTGCAGTCCAATGAGTGCTGAGGCATGCAGTGAATATCATTATGTTCTTACTTCACGGATGATTTGAGTAGATACTGAGTGTATTTACTTGATGAAACACAAGTCTGAATTATTGAATGGTTCAAGTAATTTCAGAGTGAAGTTGAAGATCATCGTGACAAGAGGATAAAATATCTATGATATGATCAT